ACTTAATATTAAATTTATTTACATTATTTCATATATTTAATAGTGTTAAAAACCGATCAATCCGACCGAACCACACTGATCCGATTTAAATTGGATTGGTTTGATTTTCATATAATAGTGGATTGGATTGGTTTAAAAATTTTACTAACCGATTAAATTAGAATGAATTAAAAAATATTAAAATCTGAACCAAACCATCCCGCGAACACCCCTAGTTCAGCCTTTGAAATTTTTGCCTTTATTTCGATCAGTAAATATGACCGAAATAGTGCAAAATGTGGGTTGATTTAATGGAGCTTCAACTTTGCAATTTTTGTCTGGTCAATGCCATTGACCGAAAAAAATTAACGCGCAGCTTTTTATTTTTTTGGTCAAATATTTTGTCCGAAATTCAGAATAGTGCAGCTGATTGATTGATAGTTAATGGGACCCAGACTATTTCGGTCAGATTTCTTGACCGAAATAGTGCCTTGGTATTTCACACCCGGCCTTCTTTCCCTCTGCATTATAATTGTGTTTAGTTTGTTTCTCTCTCATTCCTTTCTCCTTGCTCATCAGAAACTTTCTTCAATTTCTTTCTATCTTGATCCTTTTGCTTCTATTTTGCTTCTTCAGTTGCAACGATGGGTTGGTTTTGGCTTGATTAGTTTTTAAGAGGTATTTTGTAAATGTTTTTATTTCATTTAACTATTAATAGATAAGAGTTAATATTTTTTTCTTTTTCTTTTTATTAATTTGTCTTTATTTTTAGATAATTAGCTTAAATCTCCTCTTTGTCTCATTTTTTTTTCTTTTACACATTATTTTTCTTTATTTTCATATAGAATGATCTAGGATATAATATTTTTCGTTTTTTTTCTTTTACTCACTATGAATATTAAGTTGTAACTGGATTATTATTAAGATCTAACATTTCCCCTTTTTTTGTTTTTTGTTTTTTGTTTTCTTCGTTACTTTTTTTATTTTTCAAGTAAATCACTTTTACTTATTTTGCATTTTTACTACCACCTGTGTCCATCATTTTTTTTGCCTTATTTTGTTATATTATTCTACTTTTCTTAAATTAGTTGATAGATTTAGGTCTATTAGTTTTTAGCCTTTTTTCAACTCATTAATTGTTTTTGCTTGTTTTTTTTTTTTTGTAAGTCCGCAATCGAGAGCTTGGTTCTAATTTCACTGATTTCCTTGACTTTGAAGTATTTGTTATTATAAGTATGTTCTAATCTTTTGTTAAATTTTTTTTTTGAAATTTAATTAAGGGAAAAAAAATATAATATTAATATGTATTGGTAAATTAAAATTATATTGTTTAATTAATTGGTAAATTATTT